CCGGCACCAACCTGCGCAAGCAGAAGTCGCTCACCAACCTCGCCTTCCTCACGGACGCCGAGAAGAAGCGGCAGCTCTACGAGCCCCGCTGGAGCGACGACATGGCCAAGGCGGCGGCGCCGGGGGCGGTGGCGGCGGGGGGCGGCGGGCGCGGCGGCCCCCGCGGGCGGGACGCGCCCGCCATGTCGCGGAGCCTGTCCCGCTCCGAGCACTCGCTGCTGTCGCCGCGCCCCGCCGGCCCCGCCAAGCCGCCCCCCGCCGGGAAGCCGAGCCGCATCCCCCGCGGGCCCTACGCCGAGGTGAAGCCCCTCAGCAAGGCCCCCGAGGCGGGCGGCGGTGGCGGCGGCGGCGGCGGCGGCAAGTGCGACGACGAGCTGCTGGGCGGGAAGGGGCCGGCGGTGGCGGCGGGCACCGAGGAGAAGCCGTACCTGAAGGTGGACCCCGAGCTGGTGGTGACGGTGCTGGGCGACCTGGAGCAGCTGCTCTTCAGCCAGATGCTGGGTGAGTGCAGCCCCGCCGGGCTCGACATCGGCGTGGGAATGGGGTGGTGGAGGCGGCGGCCGGAGGCGTGGGGGCTCCGGACACCCCGTGGGGGACCCGCCGGTGGCCACCTCGGTGTCCTCAGCGAAGGGATGCTGAGGGGGAAGGACCCATCGGTCTCGGTGACCCCAGTCAGTCTTTGAATGGTTTGGATTGCAAGGGACCTCAAAGCTCATCTCGTTCCGCCCCCTTCCACTATCCCAGGTTGCTCCAAGCCCCGTCCAACCTGGCCTTGGACACTTCCAGGGATGGGGCAGCGAAGCTTCTCCAGGCAACCTGTACCAGGGCCTCACCACCCTCCCAGGGAAGCATTTCTTCCCAATATCCCATCTAATCCTGCCTTCTGGCAGTGGGAAGCCATTACCCCTTGTCCTGTCACTCCATCCCCTGTCCTCTCCAGCTCTCTTGGAGCCCCTTTAGGCACTGGAAGGAGCTGTAAGGTCTCCCTGGAGCCTTCTCTTCTCCAGGCTGAACACCCGCAGCTCTCCCAGCCCTCAGAGCATCGTCCAGGCATGCCAAGGGGGAAGGTGCTGTCAGGGTCAGCATGGCCACCTCCTTGCCTTGGAGGAATGGCAGTTGCTCCTCGTGAGGGGCAGTGGCAGGTGGTGGTGGAGCTTGTCCCCCCCCACGTGTCTTGTTGGCTGCTCCTTGTCTCGACACCCCCAAACACGATGGGGGTTGCCTGGCCGGGTGCCACAGCTGCTCCCCACCATTGGGGTGGGTCACCCCGGGGGTGACCTTGGGAGGCTGCTGGTGGAGGTGCCGTACGAAGGGTCTGCGCTGCTGCCATGCTTTGGGCAGAGCCAGAGCTCCTCTGAGGTCTGGGGCTCTGGCAGAGGAGGATCCTCCGAGGATGCTGCTGCAGGGTTCGTGTGAGCCGGTTTCAGGCTGTGGCTGCCTGTGCCTTGCCGTCCTGGCACGTTTGATCCCTCAGCTTGTTGGTTTCCATGAGAACAGTGAGCACATGCCCCTGACCTTGGCAGCATTGTGGGCTGGGGCGCTGGGTCTCGGTGGGACTGAGCCCAGCCCTCGCCTTTCCCTCGTGGTTGTGTGCTGATCTCTAAGACCCACGGCCGCCTCGGGATTCCTCTGCTTCCCCCGACACCCCCTCCCTGCATCATGACCATCCGTGCCTGTGGGCTCAGCTGGACAAGGGCCACAGCTCCCAAGAGCTGTGTTTGGTCTGGCAAACTGGTGTGAGAAGGTGGCAAAGGAGCCCTGCACAGCCGTCGTGGGTGCCTGGCTGTAAAGCCTTGGTGGTGGGGGAGCAGCAGTACAGGCAGTGTAGGTCTGTCAGTCTGTCTGTCCAGTCCCTTGACATTCCCTGCCTGAGACCCCCTTTTAGGAAGCCAGGAGCTTCTCTGGCGCTCGAGCTGGGTCTGTCCCAGCTGCTGGAGCATCCCAGGGCTTGCAACTGGAAAGCCACAGAGTGAGCTCAAGGCGTGGGCAGGCAGAGCATGGGGATGAGCAGGTGGGACCTGGGAGGTCAGCCTGGCTGCTCTGGTGGTTCCACAGCTGGGCTCACAGATGTCCATCCTTAGCCCTGATGCTGTGGGAGCACCAGATGCCATGAGAATAGGGCAGGATTGTGGGAGGACTTGTCCCTTCCAGGACTAACAGATTGCCACTCACTGGTGTTGGGATGCCTGGGAGAATCTCAGTGTCCCCTCCTGTGACACTCTGCTCTTAGGAGGAGGTTTCCTCAGCCCCCTCAAGAAAAATTCTTGCAGACTGGCCCATGTGGGAGTAACTCCTGGTTTGTGGCCGTAGCAGGAGTACCAGAGATCCAGGACAGGACTTGAGCACATGCTAAGGAAGACCGTGGGTTGTGGAAGTGCCCCCAGCACCCACTTGGGTTTCTGGGCTCTTGCCTGTGTCAGTCAGGGCTGACTTTGACCTTTGGAGGAGTTGAACATCCATTTGGACTGCACTTACCACCTGAAGGCTTGGTTGGCTGGTCTGTGAGGGCCGGACTCAGGCAAATCTGTCTTCTGAACCCTCTGCTCTGTGTATTTGCCAAAATAGATAATTTTACAAGACTGGTGGGCTTCCTGCAGAGGGGACTGATGGCTGTGTCCAGTGTTGGGTGGGGGCAGAGCCTGGGCCAGGCAGAGCAGGAGCTTCCCCCTGCTGAAACGTCACTTCCCTTCCGTGGGGCTGTACTTCCCACGTTCATGGGAGTTGTGATGTTGAGTCACACCTACTTACCTAAGCTGTGACAGCCTGTGTGGTGGGGATGCCAACAGGAGCTTGGGGATGCAGAGAGGAGGGAGCAGTGTGACAGTGGTGGTGGCACAACTATGACTGGGGATGCCCGAGCATGGATAGATGCTGAGCCTCCAGTCCTGACCCCTTTGCTTTGTCTGGTGCAATCCAGGAGGATGAAACATTCTCTGGGGGCAATAGTACCTTCCACAATCTGGCTTCTCCGGGTAGACGTGGTTTCTGCAGTTTAGATCCACAAGGAATGGGGTCCCAGGAGAGTGGGCATCATGCCCTGCATGGGCTGGTGAGGAGGGCCAGGAGAGGAGCTTTCTCCTGGTTGCTATAGAAGGTGCTTGGGAGGGAGGGAAGGAAGGTCTCTCTACTGTTTCCATCAATCCCTTTGGCAAGAGAAACATCAGCCTGAGCTGTTTGGCCATATCTACTGGAGGGCACCCTGTCCAGAGTGGCACAGAAAAACCCACAAGCTTGGTTTGTGCTGAGAAGAGAGAGACAGGAATTGCAGGGGCTTCCAGCCTCTGCAGATCTGCTTGTCCTTGAACCACTGACCTGTGTTGAAAAGCCTGTGCTGCCTCTGAGCTCCTGGCCCCACCAGCCAAGGTGGCTTCCAGAGACCTTGAGTGTCTTTAGTCTCCACACCTGAGTTCTCATCTCCACCTCACGCTCCTCCTGCCAAGAAGCACTCCACCCCCAAGCCTCTCTTGGCCAAAAATACAGTTTATTCAGCAGCAGCCAAGTGTTACCTCTCATTCAGTCACCGCCGCTGCCTCATCTGTTTGATGGCACCGAAGCCTTTGTAGCTGAACCGCATTTAAAGCAGAGCAGCCTGCGCAAGCCGGGAGAGGTCACCGGGACGCAGCGACCACATGTGCTTTGTAGAGGCTATTTCCATCCTCCAAATTATACATTTCGCTTCAACCGAAGACTGAGGCTTCTCATCAAAGCTGGCTGGCAGCTGGGGTTGCTAATTACCCCAGTGCCCAACCACAGGATGAAGGGGAAAGGGGGCGGAGGGCGCGTGGCCGGCGTGGTGGCAGAGCTGGCTGCGCAGAGCTTGCCGTGCCCGTCTCTGTGCGCGATGGACAGGAGGGTGCAGGGGCACGTACGGGCTGTGTGTGCGGTGCCCAGCATGATGGGCACTTACCTAGAGCTCCCCAGAGCACCTCCGAGAGCCTGCAGCTGCTTTCTGCAGCCATTTCCTTGTCCATCTCCTGCTGGATGTGGTGCCTCTTAAGTGGCTGCTAAATCGCATCAGCGAGTAAGTGTTCGGTGCTGCGTGGGCCGGACACACGTGTGATCCCGGGGGAGGTGGTGTTTCCCCGAAATGCTCGCTGCAGGAGTCTGCAACCCTGCCAAACTCTGCAGGTGCAGCTATAACCCATCTCAGTCCTGCAGCCCTTGGGTGGGCCATGCCACCCTTCCCCAGGTGGCACAGTGGGGATGTCCTCGCTGGGCAGCACGTGCCTGTGGGGGCCTGGTACCCCTGTGGTGCTGACACGCAGGCAGGACAGTGCCCAGCTGTGCTTGGACTGGTGCTGGCTGGGCAGCTGGGTGGTGGGGAGGAGAGCCAAGGGCTGGGACAGGCATATGGGCTCCATGGCAGGCAGGACCTTCACATCTGACTGTGGTCAGTTTGGAAGAAAACCCACAGTGTGGAAAAGACACTTGGCTGGTGTCTGACACGTCCTGCGTGATGATGTTCCCGACCCTTGTTGGTGAAGAGGATTAGCAAGGTATTCCCTCTTGATGCCCTCCCATCCTCGCTGGGAGGCGCGTGGTGTGGGGTTAAAGGAGCAACTGTGCCCCACGGTGTTCCTCCCTGTGCCCCACGGTGTTCCTCCCTGTGCCCCACTGTGCTCCTCCCTCTGCCCCACTATGCTCCTCCCTCTGCCCCACGCTGTTCCTGCCAGTTTAATTAAGCACTAATGGGCCCGTGGCAGTGCTGTGCAGCAGTAGCCAGGCTCCCTGGCAGGAGACCACGCGGAGGTCAGAGACCAAGTAGCTCTTCACAGTGATGGGAGCGGGTTATTGCCTCGTAAAGTGCTGTAGCTGCCCTGATACCGCTAATGCTGTTCCTCTGTTATGGCCCCTGCGTGACAGAGTCCGTGTGACGGGGTCGTTGGGATGGGGATTGATTTCCTTCTGCCCACAGAGCTGGACTCCTGCCTTTGGGGTAGGGGTAAGGAGGAAGGGGAGAGGTACATGGTCATGTTGCTGCTTCCAGCCTGCTCCCAAGAGCTGGCAGTGAGTAGTAGATATCTCCTCTCTCCACTTGAGATGGCTGCAGTGACAGGAGAGGTCTGGAAATGTCACTTAAGGGTCCCAGATCTTCTGCTGAAGCTGCTTGGGATGTGTCGCATTCCCAGTGATTATGACAGTGTGGAAAAAGGACTAAAAAAGAATAATAATCCAGATTTGTCTTTCAAAATTTCCCATGGAAAGAGGGCAGAACAAACACCTGAAGGCAAAGATATTTGGGGATGCACTGCTGAAATGAAGTCTGAAGAGCCTGAAAGAGCCCAAAGAGCCTGAAAATCCCTGTTCAGATGGGGCTTTCCCACTGACTGCCTGTATCCCACCCCCAAATCCAACACTTGTCCCATAAGAAAATATGTGAATGAATGGAAAATTGTGTGCAATTCTGGAAGTGCTATTTAGGATCTGTTGGTGGGAGGTGACCACAGTGGGACATGGGCAATGTCCGCTCAAGGCCTTGCAGTCCCCCCAGGGTGAGTGCT